AAAAAAATTTACTTTGGTCCTAGTCATCCAGACTCCACCACCCATCCCTTTACTATATATAGATGTAATTTAAGTATACATAGTAAATATTACATATATAGTGTTTTCTTTTTTAAAGTTTTTGCTATAGGGCACATGCACTGGCTAGTTAGAGAAGATAGTGAAGGAAAGTGATGGCCACACAGTAACCCCTTCTCCATTCTCCTCAGGATTTTAGGCATACAGGCACAGGCTCAAGGTATTTTTTTTCCTCCAAACTGTTTTGTCTCGGACTTGAACCAGGTAGTTAGCCATGTGGGATCCAGCACCTAAACCTCCACCTCACCTGCTGGCCATGTATCTTGCTGTCACTGTAATTTCCCTAGTCTTCCGAATCAGAAAGTGAGGAATCAGTTAACAAAATCAGGGTTTGAGAGACCAGCAGATGACTGAATGGTTACATCGCTGGATTCCCATGCAATTAAATGCCATTCTAGTCTTGAACAGGAGACCTAAAACTCTCATAGGACACATGTGCATGCATGCCCAAAATCCTGAGAGGAGAATGGAGAAGGGATTGTAGCATGGCCATCCCCCAAGTGTGTGTGTGTGTGTGTGATTTCTTGTTTTTTGTCTCTCTGTCTCTTTCTCACTCTCCAGGGAGCACACCTGCCATATAGCAAAAATCTCTTAAAAAAAAAAAATCAGGTCTTGAATTCTCAAAATTCAAACAAGTTTTGGGAAGATTTGCATGGCAGACTAAATTGCTGCTAGCCTATTATGACAAAAACAACAAATTGGGGCCAGGAAGTGGCATGGTGATTAAAGTGGCTGGACTACCACATGGCTGAATGTAGTTCAAGCCCCCAACCTGGCAGCATGTGATTCAAGTTGGGTGCATGTGTATGTGTGCCCAAAATCATGAGAGAATGGAGAAGGGATTGTGGTTTGGTCATCCCCGGGGGGGGGGTGGGGGGGGATTTCGTCATTCTTGCTTGCTGTCTGTCTCTTGCGAGCATACATGCCCTATAGCAAAAATCTCTCAAAAAAAAAGAGAAAAAACTGCCCAAACTTTTAAACCAAACCTATTCTTTGTAGGGTCAGTAAAACAAAACATTAAATGCAATGAGTGATCCAGGGTAGGGTCCTGAAAAAGTCAAAGGACAATAACAGGAAAACTGGTGAAATCTGAACAAAATCCTAAGTTTAGTAATAATATTTTTTTTTTGAGATCTGATCTTATTTCTTTCTTTCTCATAAAAATCTTATTTTTGACTGGATTCAGACTTAGAAGTAGAAGCTCTCAGAGAGGACAGCCTGCGTCTCTTTACAATCTGTTCTTGGCGTTTTTCTTTAGCCTCCTTCATTCTCTTGGCCAAAAGTTTAGCATATTCTGCTGCCTCTTCCTTATTTTTCTTAGTACGCTGTTTCTTGAGGGCAATACGCCGGCGTGTGTGTTGCAGGACACGGGGAGTCACAAGATGCTGAATCTTGGGTGCTTTGGTCCTAGGTTTCTTACCTTCTTTGTTTAAGGGCTTTCTTACAACATATTGACGGACATCATCTTCTTTAGAGAGATTGAAAAGTTTTCGGATTCTGCTGGCTCTCTTAGGCCTCAGGCGACGAGGCACAGTAGTATCAGTCAGTCCTGGAATATCCTTCTCTCCTTTTTTAACAATAACCAAGTTGAGAATGCTCAGATTGGCATCCACAATGCAACCCCGAACAGATTTGCGCTTTCTCTCTCCAGTTCTCCTTGGTCTGTAACAGGAATGTCCCTTACTCAGTAGCAGGCGGACACGTGTCAGCCGTGGGTCAAGACGCCCTGCTTCATGGGGAAACCTTGTTTTTCGTTTCCACCACTGATTCGGACTACATAACCCTTCCATTCTTCACCCAAAGCGTCGGCAGCAACTTCTGTGGCCATACGCTTCTCATAAAAAGTACGAAGTTTGCGTTCATTGTCCACTTCAATGAGTTTCTGGCAGGCCGTGGCTGGGAAGGAGATATTCAACTTCATCTTGAAGCAGCTGACCTCCTCCCAGTAATAATAATATTGATCTTCTAGGTTTTGACAAATGTATACAATATTTAAATTAGAAGAAATTGGTGATAAATATATAAGGGGACTTCAAGGAAGTTCACAGAAAAATAAAATTGTTTTAGTATGTTTTAGTATGAAAACACTTTGAAATTGGGGCCAGCAGGTGGAGTGGCAATTATGGGCACTAGATTCCCACATGGCTAACTGCAGTTCAAGTCTCAGATCTGGCGGCTTGCTTTCTTGCTTTCCCTGTCTCTCTCTGGTCAAATTAAAATAAATAAGAAAATAAAGATACATAAAATAATTCTTTAAAAAAATACACTTTGAAATCCGTGCATAATTTTTCCATAGTATGCATTCTCCGTGAACTTTTGGAAAACCCCTCTTATAACATACAGTCTTAACAATTCTTCTAAAATTACTCAAAATAAAAAAGGTTTATTTAATTTGCCAGAGGGCGGGACCAGCAGTTGGCATAATGGCTATGTCACTAGACTCTCAAATAGTTGACCACAGTTTGAGTCTAGGACCTGGTGGCTTAAATGTGTGTGCATGCATGCCCAAGATCCTGAGAGGAGAATGGAGGAGAAAGGATTGCGGTGTGGCCATCCCCCCTTGGGGGGGGAGATTTCTCACTTTCCGTCTCTGTCAAAAACCTCTCAAAAAGACAGAGAGAGACAGAGAGCATGAGTACTCATCAGAAAGAGAGCAAGAAAGTAAAAAAGTACCCTCCACTCCCCAAGGGGAATGGTCACGCTGCTATCCTTCCTCCTCCATCTATCCTTTCGGAATTCTAAGAACACATGTACGCATGCACATGTGCCCAGTGTGGTGTTGTTGTTTTCCTTTGGAGAGGTTTTTGCTATAGGGCGCATGTGCTCACCAGAAAGACAGAGATAGACAAAGAGACAGAAAGCGAGAAATCAACCCCCAGACGGGGGGCGGGTGGCCATGTGACAATCCCTTCTCCTCCATTCTCCTCTCGGGCTCTTGGGCATGCACACACACCCACCCTGTATGAGTTTAAGCCACTGGGTCTAGGACTCGATCTGCAGTCAACTACATGGGAGTTCAGTGACATAGCCATTATGCCAACGGCTAGCCCCGCCCCGTGTTTGTTTTTTTTTTTTTTAATTTTTTGGAGAGGTTTTTGCTATAGGGCATGTGCGCTCGCCAGACAGACAGAGACAGAAAGCAAGAAATCGCCCCCCAAGGGGGATGGCCACGCCGCAGTCCCTTCTCCTCCATTCTCCTCTCGGGATCTTGGGCACGCACGCACACGCACCTGGCGTGAGTTTAAGCCACCGGGTCCAGGACTCGAACCGCAGTCGACTACGTGGGAGTCCAGCGACATAGCCATTATGCTAACTGCTAGTCCCCCCAGTGTGTTTTTTAATCTGCAGGTTTGGGACTCAAACCGCCACTGCCCTACTCACCATGCTATTGGCTGGCCTGAAAAAGGTATATTTTTTAAAAATAACAAGGCCAGCTCCATAGCCTAGTGGGTAAGGGAAATGTATCCCACATAGTCCATTGTGGTTCAAATTCTAGCCCTGGCAGCTTGAAAAATGTGGTAGACATGTGTATGCCCCAAATCCCACCAGGATAGAGAAGGGATTGTGATGTGACCATGTGCCACTGGGAACTGCTTTTCCCCTCTCCTTCTCTCTCTCTGGTGAGTGCATGCCTCTGGCAATTAAAAAAGCAAAAACAAAACTGCCCTATAATTGTTGGAGGCTGTTGTGCAGGTACATCTCTCCAGCGGATACAATGGGCAAGATCAATCATGTGATTTATGCACAGGAGCTGTTTCTCCTCAACAGCCATTGATATGCAATGTACTCTAACATTTTTTTAAATTTTAGTGCTATAAGTACCCACAAATGGAAAAAAAACTCTATTCTAGTTGCATTGGCCTCTTGGTTTCTCACACACACTGCTTTTTCATACTTCAAGCTTTTTGCTTTTGCTGTTCCTTCTTATCCCTCACTCATCCTTACAAAAATCATTGCTGGTTCTTTATACCTTGCTTAAAAACCATTTCCTTAGAAAAACTTTCTTAGAACACCCAGCATAGTAGGTTCTCCCATCATTTTATCTCATTATTATCTTTCATAGCATCAATCACAACCATTAGGCCTCTGTTTACTTATTTTTCATCTCTATACTATAATGAAAACTCATTGAGGACAGTATCCTTAGTCCCATTAACCAGGATATCCCAAATACTTGGAACAATGTCTGGCTCCTGGAAGACATTCAGTAATTGTTGAATAAAGAGAATATGCAAGGGGGCGTGGTGGCGCCCGCCCTATGGCAAAGAGAATATGCAAGCTGACTGAGTCATCTATGGAAGTAAGTGGAGTGATAGTTTCGCACGATTCCCAAGTTGCACTTCTACTTCTCCCTTACCTCTAGTAAGGTCACAGAGTAAATGGAAGGTAAACTTATTTCTCTAATCTTCAAATGAACAAACTTTAATGAAAGAAGCATAAATGAAAATAATGGGTAAAATCAAAAGAAATCTCCACTAGTTCCAGTGAAAGAAAAAAAGATAAGAACAGAAAGGAGATAAGCCTTCTAAGAAATTTGCCATTTGGTCTATAGTCAATATGAAGAATTGTCCTTTGTAGCCACAAAAAACTTAAAGCTGATTATTCTCGTTGCTGAGGATTCAGTCCAGCAGATCAGCAGAAAGCAATGATTCAAATGTGCATGAAGAGCACCATGGCCTCTGCACAGAAAGCCTTCTTTAAATTCTTCTTGCTCTCCCCACCAAGGACAGAGACTTGTCCAGCAGCAGTATTCTAGCAAATGTCTACGGCTTAGGATGAGAATGTCCACACATTTTAAGACCAGGGAACTCCTGGAAGGAAATGGTGAGTCTTCCAACTGAAAGATCTGAAGCTATATTTTTTTGGGAGGTGGGCCCATGCTCAAGTCAACTGGGTGATACCAATTCAGGTTTGACTATGGAGCATCCAGAAGGTGTAACAAGGTGTCAGGCTGTGCATGGATCAGTGAGACAAAAGGGGCCAGGCCAGCACAAAAGGGCTCTCTCTTCTAGTGTTGGGTCCACTTGATGCTCTTGAGGTCAATGCCATCCTGTACCATCTCCCAGAGGGGGCTGCCCAAAAAAAAAAAAAAAAAAAAAAAGACACATCGGATGAGTAAAAGCTTAAATAGGAAGCAGCCAACTTCGACTTCAAGGACCTGAGGAATGACCTGCCTCTTCTTGCCCTTGTCTCTTCTCTGCCTCTTACCCTGGTAGACCCCCAATACAGGTGGGTAGTAAATCATTCCCAGCTATTTGTATGTCCTGCCAGTTCTAGACTCTTCCCAATTGCCAACAAACAGGAATAATTATTGAACATATTATCCCAGGCTCAGCTGCCATGGAGTCCTGAGCTAATGGGCATCAGGTGTTGCCATATTCCTGAAGTTCTCATCCCACCTGTGAGGAGTTATGAACACAGTCTTCATGTGGAAACTAAAGCTGTTGGGACCAAGATAAGCAGCCAATTTCAGCCTCCATAGTACACCCACCACATTTGGCCTACTTTTCAGCACTTGATTCTGCATTTTTTTCTAGTTCCCAGTCAGGGCTAGAGCTTAGCCACGTTTTTTTCTAGTTCCCAGTTAGGGCTAGAGCTTAACCCTAAATTGTTTGGGTATGCAGAGCCCTTATCCAGTTACTGCCAGCTTCATCTGCCCATACTTGGAGGAGAATAAAGAAGGGATCATGGGGTGCCTAACCACTCCAGGGGCAGGGGGTGATTCTCACTTTCTCTCTGACTTTCTCTCTCTTGTCTCTCTCCAGCAAGCACACATGCCCTATGGCAAAAATCTTAAATAAATAAAATATGGACAACTTCGTGAATTTGTGTGTAATTCTTGCTCAGGGTCCATGCTAATCCTCTCTGTGTTGGTCCAATTTTAACATATGTGCTGCCTGGGACCAATAGTTGGCATAATGGCTATGTTGCTGGACTCCCATGTAGTCGACTGTGGTTCCAGTCCTGGACCCGGGGGCTTAAACTGATGCCGGCTGCATGTGTGTGCATGCCCTAGATCCTGAGAGGAGAATGGAGGAGAAGGGATTGTGGCATGGCCATCTCCCCTGGGAGAGTGATTTCTCTCTTTCTGTCTCCGTACATCTCTTTCTGGTGAGTGTATGCGCCGTATAGCAAAAACCTTTCCAAAAAAAAATATATGTGCTGCCAGGACCAGCAGTTAGCATAATGGCTATGTCACTGGACTCCCATGTAGTCGACTGCGGTTCGAGTCCCGGCCTGGTGGCTTAAACTCACGCTGGGCGTATGTCTTTCTGGCGAATGCACACGCCCTATAGCAAAAAACCTCTCCAAAAAAAGAAGAAAAGATGTGCTGCCAAAGAGATCACAGAGTTTTTCAAAAAATGCTTTCTTGGGCCAGCATGTGGCCTGGCAGTTAAGGCAGCTGGATCTCATATGGCTGACTGCACAAGTCCAGTCCCAAACCTGGTAGCTTGAGAAACATGCCCAGTGTGTGTGCATGTGTGCCTAAAACCCTGAGAGGAGGGAGAAATGGAGAAGGGATTGCAATATGTGATCAGGCCCGATGGTGGGTAACTTTTCCTCTGCTGCTCTTTCTTTCTGTCTCTCTGGTAAACACATGTAGTAAATTAAAAACAACAACAAAAGAAAACCTTTCTCATTCTGAAAACAAGTAGCCAAGCACATCTATTTTCCTGCTTTATGAAATCTCTAAATCCAAAAATCCAAGTACTGTAAAATTTTTGTTTCTGGCAGTGTGACTACATAGCCTAAGAACAATAGGGGAGACAGCACTACAGTTTCCTCCAAAGGGCCTCTGGGTCTCTTGACACGATGGTGCAAACCTCATTTCTCGAAGACGCTTCACATGCTGAATACACTTCTCTGCTGTGTAATCCACTTCCTCCTCTGTAGTGAAGCGGCCAATGCCAAACCTGAAAACAACACAGAAGAAAAGCTCTGCGTCAGCGTTCTGGCACTGGGTAAATTCATTCAGCAAATACTCAGAGAATGTACTACACAAAACACAAAGGGAGAAACAGTGTCTTTACTTTTTAGGTTAGAGTTTCTCAGAACATGGTCTGGGGACCAACCTCATTAGAATCACCTGATCAGTTTCCTACTCTTCCTCCAGACCCAGTGAATCAGAATATCTGAGTGTGGGATTCAGAAACTGACACTTTCATGAATGTCCCAGGTGATAATGAAGTCTGAGAACCACTATTCTAGAAATTTTCACAAAAACTCAGGATGGGATAAGGAGTACTAGAATGTAACAGAAATGAAAATACAAAAGGATGTCTTTTTTAAGTATTGCAGCTGAATTCACTGACCTGATAGAAGAGTGCGCTAAATCCTCATCAGTGCCAATTGCTCTAAGGACATAAGAGGGCTCTAGGGATGCAGAGGTGCAGGCACTAAGGAGAGAGACAGAAGCCTTGAACAATTCATCAACAATTCATAAACAAACTGGGAGTTTGTTTAGCCACAAACTCCCAGTCTTGCTCCCATGACCCAAGGTCCTATAGTCATACCATGGAAACAAAAGAGACCTTTTAATTTGGCAGAGGTACAGGGCTTCACGCTTCCTTGCACATTCTGGGACGTGAACCTAGATCCTCAGGCCCTATAGTGGATGATCTCCTTGCATAAGGACACTGTCAAAGTGTGACAGAACATGATGCCACATGAGCTGGGTTTGACTAATAATAAGACAGCAAAAAAACATGTGCTCACTCCCCTAGGACAGAATATACCATCTGTACCAGCATGGAGGGTAGCTAAACCCGTGATAGCCTCTGGGGTATCTCTGATTTTACAGGTCTGTTACTAGAACCCTAGAACATGAAAGGCACAGGGTTTTCCCAGAGGAAGTCCTCCTAAAGTAGTAAACCTTGGCCTGTATCTAGTTAGCTAAAAAACAGGTATTTACAAAATGATCTTTATCCTTAATTGAGAGCTCTTGGCTTAGAAGTTGTCGCATAGTGTTACACCAAGTGCCCTGGATGGCTGGAAGCTATGTGGCCAACTGTGGGTTCAGATCACCAGGTCAGCTTGAAAATACACTGGGTAGGGACCAGCAAATGACATAATGGTTACGTCACTGGACTTCCACACAGTTGACTGCAGTCTGAGTCCTGGATCCGAAGGCTTAAAACTCATGCCAGGCACGTGTGCGTGCATGCCCAAAATCCCGAGAGGAGAACAGAGAAGGGATTGCAGCATAGATATCCCCGTTGTGGGGGTGATTTCTCGCTTTCTGTCTCTCTCTGACTCTCTGGTGAGCAAATGCACCCTGTGGCAAAAAACAAAAACAAAAACAAAAAAAACTCTAAAAAAAAGGAAAAAGAAAACACACTGGGTGTACACATGGGTGCCCAGAAAGGCTGTAGGACTGGGTAAGGGGGATCACGGTGAGATGAAACCCTGTTGAGAATGTTTCTCTCTCTCCTTCTTCTATCTCTCACTGTCTCTCTCTCCCTCCCTTCCTCATGCACACATACACATGCATGTGTTTTCTATCATTAAAAAAAGGAAAGAAAGAGGGTCAGCAGATGGTGTGGTGGATAAAGGCGCTGGATTACCACATGGCTGACCATGGTTCGAGTCCCGGACCTGGTGGCTTGCTTTCTCAATTTCCCTTTCTCTATCTCTGTCTGGTCAAATTTTTAAAACATAATAACAACAAATGAAACTGGGACCAGCAGTTGGCATAACGGCTATGTCACTGTTCTCCCATGTAGTCAACTGGAGTTCGAGTCCTGGACCCAATGGCTTAAACTCACGCCGGGTGTGTGTGCTTACATGCCCAAGATCTTGAGAGGAGAATGGAGGGGAAGGGATTGCAGCATGGCCATCCTCTAGAAGTGAGTGATTTCTCACTTTCTGTCTCTCTGTTTCTGTCTTTCTGGCGAGTACACGCACCCTATACCAAAAACCTCCCTGCCCCCCACAAAAGTAATTAAATAAATACTTAAATTTTTTATTTAATTTAATTTATTTATTTATTTTGGAGAGTTTTTTTTTGCTATCGGGTGCATGCGCTCGCCAGACAGAGAGAGACAGAGAGACAGAAAGCAAGAAATCACCCCCCAGGGGGGATGGCCACACCATAATCACTTCTCCTCCATTTTCCTCTCGGGATCTTGGGCATGCACACACATGCGCCCAGCATGAGTTTTAAGCCACAGTGTCCGGGACTCAAACCGTGGTTGACCACATGGGAGTCCAGTGACATAGCCAACACGCTAACTGCTGGTCCCCATTCATTTATTTTCATTTGACCAGAGAGAGGCAGAGAGAGAGAGAGGGGAAG